GTTGGATTAACGAGGAAGCGAGGAATTCATATGTAAGTATTCATTTAATTTTGTCATACTTAAAGTATTGATGTAAGATATATATATCTTAAAGCTCTTAACGACACATTTATTTTTTTTTTTAGAAAGAAATGATTACCTTAAAGGCGTATCATGCTTCTCAAGGAGATGAAAAAACAGAAGAAGAAATCATGGAGACGGTCATTGGGAGAAGATCGAACTATATAATAGGAATGGGATATGGACCGAAACCCACCAGTAACAAAGGATCATCATCAAAACACTTTGATGAATATGTGGAGTCATTAGAGGCTCGTCTTTAGAAGCATGAGGAAGAATTGGCAACTAAACGTAAAGTCAACGAAGACCAACAAATTGCCACCCAAGAACAAATACAAATAGCATTGGAGGCTCAAAGCCAGGAGTTTAATAGGAAACTTATCGAAATGCAACAAATGTTTCCTTCGGGGCGAGGAAGTTCATCGAATAGTAAGGTATGTCGTGAAATTAGTTTCTTGATGTTATGGTTATGTGCACAAGTGTTAAAACTTTACGTATGTTTTGAGAGTATATCTTTTAGATTATGTTTGTCTGAAGTATGATATGATTTACGTATGATATTGAGTATGTCTGCTTTTCTTTGGAATATATTTTACCTTTGGAGTATGTCTAGAGTTTATCTGGAGCTTTGTTTTGAAACGTTTGGTTGGAGTGGAAATAAGTTTGTGACGTTCGTGACATCGGGGGAGGGAATAAGTTTTAAAAAGTGTTCTAAATTCAATTGTTGATCTCATGTGATAATTTTTTTGGGAGGAAGATATGAGTTAGTGATTATTATGCCTTTATGTGTTTGATATTGTGACATTGGGTTATGATTTTTTCTTTTTGGTATCGTGACATTGGGTTATGATTTTTTCTTTTTGGTATTGTGACATTGGATGGGTATATGTGACATTGGGTTATAAGTTTATGTGTTTGGTATTGTAACAAAAAGGGGCGGGTTTGTAACATTTGATGTATTTGATATTTATTATGCATTTGGTTGTTGTTTTACTATCATGTTAGTTAGTTTAGTTTATTGGTTTCTTATACTACAAAAATAATTGATATAATTCTTTGTGCAGGATTGATGCTACAAGGATGGTGGAGGCTTGGACGTTGGAGAGGATTATTTGTGTGAATTTAGTTAGATGCTTGACGTTATTTTTCTTTTGTACTCTAATTTTATAATGAGTTTTATTTTTACACACTTACAATGTTATGAATGATACAATTGTTCAAAGATATTTGCTATATTTTTAAAATTTAGCAAAAAATTTTAAGGTCAAATTTTGTTATTATGGAAAAAGTATATTCAACAAATTTCGAATGAGAAATGAAGAACATTAAAATGTTTGTATGGAAATCGTGGAAATTTAGGATTGAAATTAGGAAACAAAGAAACAATGAAATAATATTATTAATACAAAAAAAGCGACGTTTTTCATATTTTCGTCGCCTGCCAAAAAAACGCGATGAAACGTTTTGGTCGCCTGCCAATAAAAAAGGAGACGAAACATGTATCGTCACTTTATCGGCAATGAAATCGTGTTTCGTCGCCTGCCAAGAAAGGGAACGACGAAACCTTGTTTTCGTCCCTTCCGTGGAGACGAAAAACGTTTCGTCGCTTATGCGGCGACGAAAGGAAAGCGTCGCTAAGGCGACATTCTACCGTTTCGTCGCTAAAATGGGGTTTCGTCGCTGAAGGTTCAACAACACGGAATCAGCGATGAAACTAGTGACGTAGTCCGTTTCGTCGCTGAAACTCGTCAGTGACGAAATTTAGGCTTCAGCGACGAAAATTTTTCGTCGCTGAATGTCTAGAATTTTGTAGTGTTAGCATCTGAGTCATGGATGACATTAGAGCTTACAGTGATAAAATTAAATCTAACTTTAAGCTTCCTGTCACAGCTTATTTACTAGGCATACTAAATTTCTCATAACACCATTGATCGTTGTTATGTGACATTTTGTCTATAATGTCTAGTGCTTCATTGAAGTATTTGAAAGTGAAGGGTTCATTCACACAGTATCTAGCATAATCTTGGATGTTTGTCCAAGCGTCTTGTTTTATTTGAATACGCGTCGATAGTGCATGGTGTAGGAAATTTCATTAGAGTTCTTTGAAGCGTTCTAATGCTTCATTGACTGCTTCGTTGTCCATTTGTCCAAATGTTACTATCTCCTCCCTGATTTTGACATTACTTATAAGTGAAACAAATACTTGAAAACAAAATTTCTCAGCCCAAGACGTCCATATTGTGATGGAATCTTAGGGAAAAGAGTTGAACCATGTCTTTGTCTGGTCTTTGAATGAAAAATGAAATAATTTTTGTTGAAGTGCATCATTAGAAACACCATGTAATTAAAAAGAATTAGCAAGTTCAAGAAAGATTTTGAGATGAGAATGAGGATTTTCGTACGCAAATTCTCAAAACTGTTGATAACTCTCCATAAGAGAGTGTTTTGTGGCATAATTTGGGTAAGATCAGTTTGCAAATGTAAGGGTCCTTGATAAAAATAGTAAGAAAAGAAAAGAATTCGACAAATTAGGGACCCTAAGCTGTTAGAATTCTCAATATTCTTAATTTGAATGAAGTTGAGGTTATTTTCTAATATTTTGGACATGAATTGTAGAATTTAGGATGATTAAGCTGAGGGCTGCAAAGACTGCTGAATTGTTGTTGGAACCTGAGATGAAGAGTTTCTATGCTGGAGCCTGTGGGAACCTGTCGAATGCTCTAACATATGTGACTGCAGTAACTTATTGCCCCAGTTTTAACCGTGTTCGTACAGCTTCCAAGTATTGCCCTAAATTTAAGGGCCCAAAATAAAAATGAAATAATGTCAGCCATAAAACGAGGGGACAGAATAGAAAATCATTTTGGGACATCAAAATCAGAGAACATTTCTCACTCATTTTGAGGAAGGAGCTGACGAAGGGGAGCTGAACTTGGTGTCATCATCAAGTTGGGGGATATTCGATCATTATCAAAGCTTCCTTGCTCAATGGGCTCTATTTCTTTTCTACCTATTGTTTCTTTTTATTTTAGCATGAACTAAACTTCACCTTGGAGGGGATAAACTTGTTGTAGCTCTTGACTTATTATGTTTTAGTAGCTTTTAATGTTGATATAATTCCATCATTTTACTGATTCTGTTTTGCCATCATTATTAGTTTGATAGCTCCTTTAAGGCTTCGAAAAGTTCTTGTAATGCATGTTTACCTCTATTTGCGTTAGATTTCTCTATTTGTAGTAGGATGGTGAGTACTCAAGGATGAGGCTCACCATTTCATGCCTATAAACTATTTGTATTACATGTTTAAGCTATAGCGGGAGTTGGATTTAGGCATGTTTAGGTATCTCGGGAGAGAGCCATGTCTATTTCGGCATTCAACATTCTAGGTTGCTAAAACATCAGTTAATCGCGAGTGAAAGAATGATTCCCCCTCGATTTACCTTCATATCGTATTACATACACGTTTCTGTTTGTTTTCTATTTCGGATGCTTCAGCACAACATCACATAATATCTCTATTCTTGCTCATTTACAATTTTTACGATTTTAAGTTACAACGTTCACTTTACAATTAATTGAGTTGTTTTATTTTTTCTCTTTTGGTATTCTTCTCTTACTACTACAAAGTATAACTCTAATTATTTGGTGTGCACTTACATCGGTTGTCACGTAAGTTGTGGACACGCAACAACTGCTCCATTGTTTGTAGGCATTTGGAATATGACATGCTTCAATTCAAATTACTTGGCAATGGTTGGAGGGTTATTTACTTTTTTTTTAATTTATATTTTGGAAAGCGGGTGCCGCATAGTCTCTCATGGCACACCGTCCTTATTTTTCGCCATCAAGATAAGGTTATAGATGTTAGGAATTTGATTTTGATGTTGACTTTGCTTATTTGCACCTTGTCCTGACATGTCTCCATTCACGTTTGGATCTTGTGGATCTACTGGTCGGATCACATTAGGATTCATCTTGATATGCTTTGTTTCTTCTTCAACTATCTTATCTTTATGGCTTTTTTGTTGTTGCTCTCTAAGTCCCCGTTATTGCTTCAACCTCTAAAATAGTTCTTTTAATTTTTATCATACTTCTCCAAGTTACACCCTACACTCATACGTTGATGTTCTCGTAATGTTGTATATTAAAAATTTCACACAGAGAAAGAGATAGTGAAGAGTGTAGCACCTTAACAAATCACATATAATAAAACGAAAACAAAGTCCCTTGCAATGATGCCAAACATTTGTTGCGCCTCTACCTTAATAGATATGATGTTAGTGCAAGCACATACTACAATAAAAAATACATGGAAATGTATTGTAAGTTCGTCTCTACATGGACTAATTTTAAAAAAATTATTATGGGAAAATGTCTGGTGTACAATCAGTTTATGTGACAAATCATTGGTGTGAGGTTTTGTAAACTAAGTAATAAAGAACCAACAAAATAGAAATAAAAAGACCAATCTCTCTACTTCGTGCCTTAGCATTATACAGATACACAAGCATTGGCAAACACTACAAAATTTGAAAAAGATTAAAAGAATTCGAAAGAAGCGTCGAAACTTTTAGACTATCATCTCCCAACAAATTCGACACCACTGTCTTCATCGTCTCCCAACTGTCAGGAAAAAAGGACAACAGTTTTATAGCTTTCACCTGATTTGAGAATGTGATCTCCATGGACTCCAGCTTGTTCAACAGATCGGTGACCTCATTTATGTGGGAGTTCACTGAGGTA